AATGACCTTTTTTATAGAGCGAATTGAGGGCTACAAAGAAGATATTAAGTAAAATCTTCCTACCTCCCTTAGATTTCGAGATATTCATCGAAAACTGGCCAATAATTAAAATCGACTTAAACCGTTTTACCGTTTCGCCACTGATTTGAAAAAATGAAAAAATAATGAAGGATGTTCATTCAGGGTCATATAATAATCATCTCATAATTATACATAATTGTAATATTTGGAGAGGGACTTGAACCACCTGTGAATGACCGGCCGGAGAAATACACTAAAAAAATAAATTCTTCTCCCAAGAAAATGATTCCTCGGCAAAACTAATATTTTTTCTCAGTGCATCATGATGTGTCAATCCGTGTATTAATTCCAATTAAATCAGATGACGAAATAATTTTTTCTCAACGTCTACAACCACACACACATCCCGTTCGCTGTGTGTCCCTCATCCTAACGCGGGCCATTCTCTAGCATTGCGATTCTTGGAATATTTCAACTCAAAGCAAACGTTCCCGGCATCTACCTCGGGGGAATGTCGAAGCCCGGAACTTAATAAGCGAATTACTTGCGGAGACAGGAATATGTAGAGAGGGGGAAGGCGAGTCGGGCTTTATCCAAATTTAAAACCCCATGCGTTTATGTCATCATTATTCCTCCAACTGTTTTTACCAAAAGGGTTATTATCTCGCAACATGACGGCGCGTATTTACACGGGATGATTGCACATAATTGCAGCACGTTTGTTCGGTTAAACTACTGAAACAAGTATGCGACACTTCGATGGGGAGAACACCCCCGATCGTGCGGGAGATTGTTCGAACAGATGTTTGCATTTCGAAAAATTTCGAGGGCCCAGAGACACCGGACGCTGGGAATTCTCGTGTGTCTCGGGTTTCCATGGACTCAGGGTGCCTTTTTATTAGGTATAAAGTTTTTTCAGACAAATTTATTTGGGTCCAGAAATCGTTACGTGACACTTGGGGGGGCAAAAAATCCCGGTCAAATGGGTAATCCCCCCCACAGTCGGTTTTGCAGACACGAAGGAGCGGCGGGAGATGCACCGAGAGCGTCAATTAGAGTGAAATTTTTCGCCACGGTGCGCCACTCTTATTATCATTACCAACCCAGGAAGAGGTGAATGTGAAAGTTTTTGTTTCGGGGCTTGATTGACTTAGGTGGAGTAGCAAGGATCGAATGTGAAATATGGATGGTAGGCAAGTCATTATAAATTTGTTGTCTACTAAAGTTTTAACTGATGGAGAGCAGGTTTGATGTATGGTTATCGTATGCGAACCAGAAGCCCCGAGACCATCATGAGGGGGTTATAACGGTACTGGAATTCCATGTCCCTTGCGATATAATTTTTTTTTATCTCTCTCTTGCATCACGAGCTACGCATCAAGGGCCAAAGCCGGACATTGATTGAATTTTTTGCAGATACTCGGGTTTTTTTTTGTTGGGTGGTACTCAGCGGGTCTCCCTCAATCTATTCGCTCAATTAAAATCGTCGGGATGGATTGTTTGCTAGATAATGGGAGATGAAAAAATTATGTATCACGCGGCGAGATGATTCACGAATTGGGAAAGATGTGGTTGGGGCTGGGGGATTATGATTTTGGGAACGATTGAAGAGGTTCATTACAAAAAACGTTTTTTTGTTGTGTTTGACCTCCAAAGAGTTTTTTCCAGCCGTTGGAGCACTTCAGGTTTTTCTCGATATCAAGGTGCTGACCTAGGCGATCATCAGCCATTTTACGTCGGTGATTACACAATTGTGAATGGCCGTTGGGAATGGACCCACTTCACCGGTGGTGGAATATACCTTCGATCAAATTCCGAACGTTTGGAGATAAAAATGACCTCGATAGTGTGAGAAATGATATCGGTGTGGAAGATCAGGGAAATTCATTAGCATTTGTTTAAATGAGCGTTGGCAATGGGAAAATGTGAATATCTCGGAAACTAGATGTCCAAATAAACGCTTTTAATGCGGACTATAATTTTTTATTCTTGCACTATTAAAAATTTTTGGCTGAAATTTCCGGTACAATTTAAAAAAATTATCATCATGTGACAGTTTTACTGCAATTTTAAGGAATTTTGGCATTAAACATTTTCAATTTGATGGAGAAATCAATGGAGACTGTAAACTTTAGTTCAGTAATGCATGAACATTAATAGGAATTAAGAAAATTCAGATTAATATACAATAATAAATTCTTGCATTTCCGATCGATTGAAAGTTCAGTATAATTTGGTACTGAATGTTCATGTTGTGATTGAAAATTCAAGTAAGTTGGGGAATTCTTGATTTGCTGTTGCTCAATAATTTGGTATTCTACGGAATTTACAATGAAATTCCATTTTTTACACGATTTTTCTCCCTAAATAGAATTTAACATCGCTCTCCTGAAAATTATTGGAACTTGACTCCATTGCAGATTTCAATTGCACAGACAAAATAAGTTTCTCAAAGTGAGAAAGCAGATTGATAAAGTCTAGAATACGTCGAGCTTAATTTATCTTTCTCAAGTGATGGACGTAATCGTAACCTTAGATTATTTGAGAAAAAATGTCTGAATTAAACTGATTTTGAATCTGGCCGAAATTTCCTGGTGGGACATTATGGATTCGCAGACGAATAACGAATAGTGACTGGATCCAGTGCAACAGAACAGATCAAATCCTGACATGTGAATCAGGCTACATCCAACAAGCGATTCATTAACTTTCTGACCCAAAGGGACGAAGTTCGTATAATGACCCCGCAAATAAAATGTTGAATTTCGTCTACCGCTCAAGACCTCTAGAGTTATTGTGAAACTTTTTCGAAGAAATGTTTGTGGGTGTGTGCACGTGCGGACGTATGTATGCATGGAAAAAAATATACATGAACAAGGTCTATGCATTTTTTTACTTAAAACGAAACTTGTTGCAAGTTCCTGCAGGAACTTGCCACTGGCCATTGCCCGAGGGCCTTCAGCCAAGTATTTACATTTTATGTACATAGTAGTTGGTAATAGCAAAAAAGTCAGGTAATATTTTGACTTTACTGGGTGAGGATAGAGAAAATAGAGATAATTTTGCAATACAAAATTGAGTGGATGGTGAGATGGTACAGTACAGAGTGATGATATGATGACTGAGGAGTTGCAGAATTTTTACGAGTTACTGTTGGAGGTTGGAGTATATTTTATACTGGATTCAGGTCTATAATATGCTCGAATCAAAAATAGTAGACGGGCCGGATACACGGAGAGAAATATTCAATAAAAATTACGTATCTTTTCCATAATTCCGGAGTGAAATGTGGTTGTTGGAAATTTTACGGAACTCTCACGGAATTTTTCCAGAGCGTTCCCTAATTTTTATCTGATTCTCCTGTGAAAAATTATGATACCGTCACTTAAATTTTCTGAGTCGTTTCCGTAATCGGTGAACGAGTTGTGAGTTCCGTAATTTTTACTTAATATTTCTCTCCGTGTATACCGAGTCTACTTTTTTTCCGTAATGTGCATCAAATTTTGTCCAAGGATTTTTCCTGAACAAATTTTCCCCGATCGATGCATCTTCTTGTAACTTAGAACTGATTAGTTTGTGAAAACTATCACCTCAGCGGTTTGTTACCTATTCGAATAAAACAGATAAGAAAACTTGAAAAAAAGAGTTTTCATCGGAAGTTCCACGATTTTATAGATAACCATGATGCGATGTGAATTTTTTCTTTTGCGATTGATACATCCTCATGTGACTCGATTCTGATTGAATGTTTTGCAAAATCCCCCCGACGATTCTTCAGTTATCCGGATTTGCGTTTTTACTTCCGTATGGGAGCATTGAAATCGCCCGATTTTTAGATTCTCTAATTTTTTCTGATCAACAGAAAAAGGGGAATCGGTCGGGAAGTTATTGGTTTGATACATACACTGATAGAACGGATTAGTTATTGTTAACGAATGGATTTTGGTTGGAGGTTAGGGTCTATTTTGTCGCATCAAATGTTCATTCGTTAATAGTTAACGAATGTATATGTGAGGAGCCTTGTTTGACTTGATTTTCGCCATTCAAGTGAACCATTCGTTAACTATTAACGAATATTCATTTGGTCATATTCAACTCTACCATTCATTAATAGTTAACGAATCTCGTTTGAAATAAATGCATCATTCTATCAGTGTAGTGGGTCACACCCCATTCCGTTAATCCCTACCAGTCGCTCTGCTTCGCCTCGGCCGCTAACTTCAATCGGGTGAAAATTCCGTCTCACTTGTATTGAAATATACTATTACACACTCGTATCGAAATACACTATTTTTATGCAAAACTAGAAAATACTGGGTTATATTGATCCTTCCCTGGATCAAGATGACTAATTTGAATTTTCACTCGGCTATTAAAGTGTCGAAAAGAACGATTCAATTCTGGATTGCACGGAGAGAACTATTCAATAAAAATTACGTATCTTTTCCGTGATTTCGGAGCGAAATGTGGTTGTAGGAAATTTTACGGAACTGTCACGTAATTTTTACCTAAAATCACGGAATTTTTCCAGTGTTCCGTAATTTTTACCTGAATCTCCTATGAAGAATTACGATAACGTCCCTTAAATTTTCTGAGACGATTCCCTAATCGGTGAACGAACTGTGAGTTCTGTAATTTTTACTGAATATTTCTCTTCGTGGAAGGCTCCTCCAATGTGCATTTGTTAACAATTAACGAATGACCATTTGGTGAGACCGTGTAGACCCTCGTCTCCAACCAAATCCATTCGTTAAAAATAACTAATCCCTTCTATAATGCAGAGAAAAATCAGAAGAGAGAAGTGGGAGAGGCAAGGCAGAAGCATAGGGAGCTTATAAAACCGTAATAGTAGCAGGGAAGAAATATGATTAAAAAAAAAGATTGTAGCAATAAATCACAAATCCCCAAACAAACAGTTTCATTCGATTCAAATGTGTTATTTCTCTGTGTGGACGTGTAATTGAATATGAAACACTCACCACGTGAATACCCTCGGCGTCCCTCCTGAGATCACCGCTCCTCTGTCCAGCGGAAACGGCCGCGCTGAGATGATTGTAATGATGCTGATGCAGTGTGTTAAGGGTTTGGGTGTAGGGATCACCGACGAGGTAGTCGAGGTGTTGGGGCTGGCCAAGACCATGCTGTGGACTTGCCGGGGCATGATGATGGGTGGGAAAGGGTGGTGGAAAATAGGGGGGTTGAAAGTCTGATGCCGTAGGTAAGGATGCACCAGCATGATGGGGCATACCGCCGCCACCATTGCCGTTTCCTCGGTGTCCGTGGTGATGGGCACCAGAGTAGGGCGATGAATTGCCACCGCCAAGGGTGGATATGCCCCCGTGACTCGTCAAACGGTCCTGCAAAAGTAAACAAATATTTATATCAAAGTTTCAAGGAATCAAGGAAGATATTATAGTAAATCGCATGAGAGTGACATTGAATCGAATTTAGGGAAAAAATGGTTATGAAATTTCAAGTTTTAAGTAGAATTCACCCAAATTCATGAGTTTTCTGTGGAAGTAAGATGGAAATTTCATAACTTGATTGAATTTTCAGTGGAACATGAATATTCAGAAACTAAATGACATAAATTTTCAACTTTTCCCTGAATTTTCCTGATTTTTCTGAATTTTTACAGAATAATTGAACTGAAAAATCAAGTATTTTATTGATTTCCAGATCATTTGAACAGAAAATCAATGGAATATTTGATTTTTCAATGACAAGATTTCTTGAGATTTCAGTGGAACTTGAACACGATAAAAATTTCCGGAATTTGGACTGAAAAATTCAGACGAAAATTTTTAACAGTGTGTCACTGTCCTAAAAATTCACGAACATATTCATTTTCAGGGAAAAATGGGACTGAAATTTACAGTTCTCTTTGATTTTTCCACGAAATTCCTTGAAATTTTAGTGGTAATTAAATTCCATAACAATTTCCAACAAGTGTACCGAAAATTTCAGACAAAAATTTTTAACACACTTAGAAACTTCTTAAAATTTCAGTCACAGCGTCATCTGAATTTTCGATTTTGTGAGGTTCAATTCAGTAGTGAAATGGTAAACCGGTATAAGTAGATTTTGCCCAGTTTTCAATGAATATCTCAAAATCTAAGGGAAATAGCAAAATTTTTGTCATAACCTTTTTTGTAGAGCAAATTGAGAGCTACAAAAAAGGAAATTACAACAATTTCGCTATTTCCCTTAGATTCCGAGATATTTTTTGAAAACTGGTCAATAGTCAAAATCGACTTGTACCGGTTTACCACTTCGCTACTGAATTCAATTTCAAATGAAAGCGTTCACTAAATTTCTTATTCACCTTAAAAATTCAAGAAAATTGGGTTTTTCATTTTAAATAGTCATCGATTTTTCAATGACAGCTTGAATTTCCAAACTCGTCATGAAATTTGAACATCGCGTACAATTCAATTTTCAATAGATTGAGCATTCAGAAAAGTTGTTGACGAAATTTTCAAAATTTTCGAGGTTTTTCAGTATAATTTGGGACTGAATATTCATATTAGATTGGAAATTCAAGTGAATTAAGGAATCCTAGTCTTTATGTTCCTTAAAATCCTGGAATTTTACTAAATTTTCAAAGAAACCTCAAATTTCATGCTTTTTTCCCTTCTAAATCGCATTCAGTGTCGCTGTCCTGAAAATTAGTAGCCAACTGTTCATGAAATTTCATTTTTTTCTAAGTGTTATTGGTCCGACCCGTAATGGATCGCACACCCACTTCCACCCACCCGCAAATGTGGCGAGCGAAGCGAGCGACCGACGACCCAGTCGAACGTTTTATTTATAATTTTTTGCTCGCTTCCCACTCGCTGTTAGATCACGTCAGATATTTCAGGAGTTACATTTGACGGCTGGAGTCAAAGTACGCGCGTTCCTTCCAAGAAGAAATACCTAGTACATCCGCGCGCATCACGCAATAATGAAGTGCTTCGGCCTTCGTCGAGTCATCGTCGGGCATTCGGCCAGTAATATTCTCGTTAAATCGACAGGCAAAGAAATATTTTAATACAACTTATGTAATTTGCCCTTCACATGTGAACACGAGATGTCGGAATACCGCTCGATCCGATGGCCACTTGGCATCGAACAGGGCATTGTGCTGACTGGGCGAAAAGCACAATAACCTTTCCATGATTTAGTGTCTCAACTGGAGAACAATCGTAATCCACCAGTGCGAGTCACTACTCAAGCTCTGAGTTGCAAAGAAACACTCGCGATTTTCTGTACCTCGAGGGCTTTCGGGTGAATTTTACAACTGCGAACGTTCGAAGGTGCGCATTATGGATTATTTATTACATTTCATTTTCCACTCACTGCTCAGAATAATTACCCCATTACAGTAGATTCAACCTGACATTATAATTCCCCCTACTGTGTAAACACTAAATACTCACTGTGTCTCATCAAGTGATAACACATCAATTTCGTTGAAAATTCCAAAGGGCCATTAAAAAAACATTTCCCATTTGGAAAAATCGTCTCGTTCACTAATGAGATAATGACATATAAAGACGGATAAATACCCGAGTCACAAATGATTCATTTAATTACCCCTCCGTTAAAGTGTCTATTATCCAGCATATTTTCCAACGTTAAAAACTCATTGTTGCAATAACACATAATACCTCGACCTGAATGAAAAATACTCCTCTCATTTTTATCATATTTCTTCCCCTCTCCCTCCCACCCCCTCGCTGCCTCGTGCAACTCTTCCTTTTTCTCTCATCTCATAAATAAAAAATGCAATTCACCTCGACCTCGATGACAGTGGTCATATCAACGTGGGGAGCGTAGCAGAGTGCCAGTTTGTCGGCAGTAGGCGCCTCTGTTCGCGGTGGAAACATCTCGAGGACCTCCAGTTTGCCGGCACTAGAACGAGGTGGGCCCCTCGGCCGTACCCTCGTGCCACCCAACGAACTTTATTCACCGAACTGATAATTCACCCCTCATATCACAGAAATAATCGCCCGATAAATCCTCCTGTCAATCACTCCGTCAATTATCTCTCTAAAAGATTATTTAAAAAATCACAAATTCACAGTTGCACACACTCACACCTGTTCCCTCAGTCGTATCCCTCAAATTTCCCCACTCATTTTGGTGTCATTCTGGCAGTAGATACACATCGGACGTGTCACGGGCTTTAAATTTCTCGGGGCAGTGTAAAAATAATAATCATCCTGGAGATCGCCGGATGATCCTCATTCACACGTCGCCTCTAAAAAACAGTCTCTCTCGCACCACTCGTCTTTCACACGCGGTAGACAAGCCGATGTCAACAGCTGATTCGTGTTATACTGTAGTTGATGTTGCGCCGGCGACTGAATCGAGGCCCCGAAGCGACGGAGGCGCGAGGCACTAGGAGACGATAGTCCAAAGCGCGCCCGTTGGTATTGCCTACCACCACCACTGGATTCTAAACTCTCAACTGCCACCACCCCAGACTGGCATGTCCCACCCGTCTGCACATTGTAGCACAGAAATTGTCCGCATTTACGATTGCATCGGCCGAGGGGTTTTTCGAGGTGCCGATGAGCCACTGCAGACCGCTCGACTACTGAATTGTGTGTAACACGCACGTGGCGCGGGTACACGCTAGATCAGCCCAAACTCGCGATCCCCCCTTTTTCACGGGCGTTAGGCAGTGGCCTAGTGTGATTGCGCACAGCCAGGCCCCATGTGGGACGCTGGATGGGGCTGATGGAGACGCCCCTCGAGCGAATAGCCGCGAGAGAAGTTGTACCCATCCAACGCGGCTCTCCTTGCGTACAATGTAGGGAACGTATCTCTCGGTGCTCGGTGCACCGCAGATCGCGGTGAGACTTTCGCCGGTGATCATCTCTTCGGATAGACGAGCTATTTCTTGGGTTCAATCGTTTCGCGGGGACGGGGGACAGAATAATTCAGGAGCGAAGTGGCAAAACGGTTTGACTTTTTGAAGAATACACGGAGACAAATTCCAATGGTAACGATAACTACGAGGGAATTTTCAAAGAAATTATATTACAGTAACAATAAAGTTTGTAAATTAAACTAGGATTCATCGTTTGATTTACTATGTCAAATAGTGTCATCAACATTGTGATGTGATTTGCACTTTAATGTAATAGTTGAATCTACTATGTTTATTGTTACCGTAACTTTTTTTTTACAATTCCCTTGTAGTTGAAATTAGCATTGAAATTTCTCTCAGTGTATTGTGGAGCCCAAGGGAGATAGCGAAATTGTCGTAATTACATTTGTTGGAGCTCTTAATCGGCTCTGCACTGATGGAAAGGATTAGTTATTGATAACGAATGGATTTGGTTGGATGCGAGGGTCTATTCGGTCTCAACCAATGTTCATTCGTTAATTGTTAATAAATGCACATTTGGGGAGCCTTGTTCGACTCGATTTTCACTTTTCAAGTGGACTATTTGTTAACTATTAACGAATATTCATTTGGTTATATGGAACTGTACCATTCGTTAATAGTTGACGAATCTCGTTTGGAATAAATGAATCAGTCTATCAGTGTACAAAAAAGGTTGCAACAGAAATTTTTCTATCTCGCTTAGATTCCGAGATATTTATTAAAAACTTTTACCACTTCGCTACTGAATTATTGCTCGAGAAGTTGACGAGATTGAGGATCGGGCAGTGGTGTAAATTTTTCACTGAAACTTCCGGTACACTTTTTGGAAATTTTTAGCACGCATTTTAGTTTTGCTGATTTTTCGTGGAATTTCTTTGGTGGAATTTCACAATTGCATGGAAAAATCAATGAGAGTTGCAGATTTTAGTTCAGTTGTTCCCGGAGAATTTGCAGAAATCAGAAAAATTCCGGTGAATATATTCTTGAATTTTAAATTAATTGAAAATTTATCGTAATTCGGCGATGAATATTCATGATTTTATCTAAAATTCAAATTGGTTGAGGAGTTCTCTTCTCAATGCTGTTATAAAATTTGGAATTTCACTGAAATTTCAAGAGATTTCATTATTGAAATTTAGAAGTGCATGGAAAGATCAATGAGAACTGTAGATTCCAGGTCAATTATCACCTAAGAATTAGTAAAAAGTAGAAAAATTCGGATGATATTCATTGTTGAATTCCAACTTAATTGGAAATTTATCGTAATTCGGCACTGAATATTCATTATTTCATTTAAATCTCAAACAGGTTGGGGAGTTATCTCAATACTGTTAGAAAATTTGGAATTTCTTTGAAGTTTCAGTAAAATTTCATGATTTTCTCCTCCTTAAGTCGTATTCAATGTCACTATCCTGAAAATTACTAAACAAAATCCTTGAAATGACAATTTTTTCTAGTTTTTTGCTGTTTTAGTTT